AGGCAGCTGGTGATGATGGCTGGGAGAGGCCAGCTGCCTCTGCCTCCGCAATGTCCCCAGCTCTGGGGAGCAGGACATAGACCAGCCAGCAGCACGTGGCATGGTGTTTCAGCGACTCAGTGACCCTTCCTCAGGGGTCACTGGCCCCCTGGGGATCCTTCGATTTCCCCAGCCAGATGTGACCTCCCCCCTTAGAGTGCCAGCCCCATATGGAGGCCAGATGCGGAGCTGGGTCAGCATGAGTCAGCCTGAGGTCGAAGAAGGCGGGTGACCACCAGGTTGGGCAGGGAGGGCCAGTGGGCCCCAGCCACAGCTCCAGAAAAGCCAGCGCCTGCAGGTCACTGCACTGAGTGAGGCCTCCTGCCACTAGTAGGGGTGGTGGCCTACAGGCCTTCCCCACACAGCGATGCCCTGTCCCCACAGACAGGGGAGCCCAGAGCCGGGGCCTCCCACCTCTGCCACCCCAGTGGCTGTAGGGTGCTGGGCTGTGGGGGGCCTGCCCTGCGGGCTGGGCAACCCCAGGCCCCATCCGTGCCCCTCCCTGAGCTTCCTCTCCTCTGAACCTCCTGGTTTTAGGAAGGAGGTGTGGGTAGTGGAGGCTGTCCAGTGAAAGGTATCTCCCATTTCACGAATGAGGAGACTGAGACTCATGGGGATCGGGGGAGGCAGGGATCTGTCCAAGGTGCCTGGGGACACCAGCCTGCTTCCCCTGCAGACAGGAGACACTTGCCTTCTCCCTGCTCACCAGCGACCTGTTTCCAGGATCACAGAGTACTTCACCCACGCGGAGCTCAGGTGGGCATCTTCCCCCAGTGGGGTGGATCTCATGGGTCCTGACACTCCTGTCCCCTGGTGTGAGTGCCTTCAGATGAGGACCCCAGCACCCTCACTCTTCCTGCACCGGCTTTTACAAACCCTGTTGCCCCCTGTGTATGTGGCAGGCGGCAGGCTGGCAGGCTGGCAGGCTGGGCTTCCTTCCTGGGCAGCAGCCACCCTGGGCTGATCGCAGGAGAGACCAGCCTCTGTGACAAGGGTGCCCAGCTCAGCAGGGCAGGGCTGGGCCCCAGGTCCACTCTCCTTTATGAGTCTCTTGTAAAGCAGGGTGGCCATCCCCTGAGTTCTACCTGTGGGCTGGGAATGCAGGGGGCCAGGCCAGACCATGACTGTCTCTCTGGGAACAAGGCTGGTGTCCTTCCTGGCTTTCTGATTTCCAGATCTCCTGATGTCTTCTCCTCCTGGGAGCCCTTGGCAGTCAGATGGTCCCAGGCACCTCATGCCTTCCCTTTCCCCTCCCAAGAACAGAGCCTGAGCACTGGGACCTGGCAGGGGACACTGAGGAGGGACATGAGGGAAGCCTTCACCAGCCCCAGGTTGGCTGTCCCCACTTCATTCAAGGTCTGAGGTGGGCCTTGGTGGGTGTGGCAGGAGGTGGCAGCCCGGATTCCTGAAGAGCCTGATTTGAGGGGTCTGACCACAGTGAGCCTCCAGCCCTCTGCCTCACTTGAGGCAGACTGGGCGGGGCTCCTGTGCCACCCTGCCTGCACTCCCTCTCACCCCACCTGCTCACCCACCCCTGCCGCAGGTGAGCATCCCTGAGAACAAGGCTTGGCCCTGCTCCACCGTTTCTGACCTTAGCAGGGGGTTGGGAAACACGTGGTCAGGGCTGCATTTTATGAAAGCAGCTGCAACTCATGACACGCTTTCTGAATGGGGAGATTTATGGAGCTGTGTGGTTTTAATGGTTTCTGTGCGGTTAATGTCCTCCCCACATTCATCCTGGCCGCTGTCTCTGAGGCAGATGGGTGACAAGTCTTCTCTGGCTGGACTGGCCCAACAGGAAGGTAAGGCTGGACAGGGGAGGCCGGGGCCGACCACCCAAGCCTCCCTGGGAGAGGCAGCTGCTGGGAAGCCTCTGAGGACCTGCTCTGAGCAGCCCATAAATCTTGGAGACCTCCGGGAGGCGGGAAGCCTCGATGCAGAGGTGTCCCAAGCTTGCAGGGAGAGGACGGCAGCCCCCTGCCCCTCGCCCAGCCCCAGGGTTCATGCCCCGGCCGGCCGCTGCCCCAGGCCCCGCCCAGCAGGCCATGCGCTGTAGGCTGGGCCAGCAGATGAGCGTGCGACAGCTGTCTCCTCCCCGCTGCCCTGGGCCGGTGCGGCAGGCTTGAGGAGGGTTCCTGGCATGAGAGCCCCAGAACTGCTGACAGGGGCGGCTGCTCTGGCCTGCAGGAAAGGTTTTCCTGTAGCTATGGGGCAGCACAGGGACTCCGAGGCAGGAGATGAAGTGCAGCCTGGCCCCTGTGACCTGGAGGCCAATTCATTTCTGTGGAGCTGCGCTCCCCTTGCTTTTCTGTGGGCGCCCGCTCCGTCCTGCAGAGGTGCTTCCTGGGGTGGGGAGTACTTCTGGAGCCAGCTTGCTACCTCTGGGGTGCCAGTCCCACCCCTGCTTGTCTGGGAGCACCCCAGCCTGAGCTGGGGACGCTTCTCCCTGCTGGCTTTGTGCTGGGACCCTTTTCCTGCAGACCGGTCTCTGATTTAAGGGGTCTCAGCAAAGGGGTCTCAGCATGCCTCTTATCGCCCCGGTCTGATCTCACTGACCACCTTTCTGAGGGTCATCTCTGCCTCATGTCTGAATATGGGATGGGTGAGACTCATTGAGGCCAGTTTAGGACGTCGGTTCAGGGATGTGGGGCTTAGGCTTGTTGGCCTGGAAGGAGCGTCATGTGGGTATAAGGGTCACATCCTGAGGGCCCGTGGTCCTAGGATGGGCCTCCTGGCAGGCAGTGCCACGAGCCCCCAGAAGCCCCCAGTCCTGGCTCCGAGCCAGTGGGGCATCAGAGGTGGCAGCAGCCCCTGCACTGTGCTGAGCCAAGCATGCTTCCCAAGTGTGCAGAGTGGGTCTCTCTGAGGTCACTCTTTCAATGTGTATTTTGACTGTTTTCAGCTGTGTGTGCACCGCGTGTGCAGCTCATACTTGGTGGGCTGTGTAATATGCAGAGGCGTTGCCAAGGGCAGCGGAAACGTGGATTTTTTCCAGCATGATCACATGAACTACCACCACCCACCACTGCCCCCAGTCCTGTCCCATCCCACCTGGTGGCCAGGGGGCTGCTGGGCTGGAAGGAGGACAAGGACCAGTGCTTTGTCCTGATGGACCTGTGTCCTGTGCTCTGCCCCTGGATCCTTGAGGATGGCAAGGTATCCCAGAGCCGGTACCCCTTCGGGTTGCATCCTTGGTGTGAAGTGGGCCCCCTTCAGGCTGGTGCTGGCCAGGGAAGGGGAGGTGGGGGCAGCCATGGATGCCCTGCCTGGTGTTCCAGGGCATTATGGGTGGTGGGGGAGCTCCAGGAAAGGGGGGACAGAGGTCTCCAGTCCTCCTACTGTGAAGGGCCACATTCCTGCAGGTCCAGGGAGTAAGAAGTTCCCCTTGGGGGCCTGGAGAGCCAGACCTGCTCCAGCCCGCTCTTTCTGCCCTCTTGTCAGCACAGCTGGGAAGACCCCCGCCCAGGTCTGTCTTCCCAGCTCTTCCCAGCTAGCCCTGAGCTGAGGCCCAAGGTCTGGAGTCTGCGAGTCCAGTTGCATGAGTTTGTTTACGCTGCCAGAACCAAGTACACAGTCTGAGGGGCCCAGACAACGGGAGTTTCTTTCTTCCCGGTCTTGGGGGTTGGCAGTCCTAGGTCAGGGTGCCCTCAGGCTTGTGGCCTCTCTGGCCTCTCTCCTTGGCATGGAGATGGCTGTCTTCTTGCTGTGTCTTCACACGGTCTTCCCTCCACATGTCTGTGTTATAGTCTCTTATCATGAGGACATCAGCCCTATCGGATTAGGGCCCACCCCAATAACTTCATTGTAACTATCCCTTAAAGACGCTCTTCTGGGGATCAGGACTTCACATATGAATGTGCAGGGGTCGGGGTAGGGATACACAGTTCAGCTACCACCGCTGATCAAAGCCACATTCTTCAGGGGCCCTAGGCGGAGAGGCCTCCTACAGCAGCCTTCTGGGGCCACCCCTGGCCACTCTGGCTGGGGGGCTCTGCAGCTGGGCCAGAGGTCTGAGGTCCCACGCAGGGAAACAGCTGCATCCTAGGGGAGGCTCATTCTGTATTCAGCTCAGTCCTGAGGAGAGGAAACCGGGGCCCTCAGGGATGCTGGAGGTGGCTCCCCCTTTGCTTCGCTGAGGGGCATTCAGTTGCCACGGTGACCTCCGTCTGCACTGTCAAACACACAGCTTAGCTACTGCTCGGGGCTGGAGGGCTCCCCACCGCCCCCACCTCAGAGTTCAGACTGTTGAGTCCCTTGGTGACAAAAACATGGAAACGGTTGCCATGGCAGCCGTTCTTTGGAGCCCTCAGATTGGAGTGCAAAGTTCAGGATGCCCAGGAACAGCTGAAATGAAAATACGGGAAAATCCGCCACTTCTTCACCCCAGAAAGATGTCAGGTGGTATTTGATGGAGGGTCCAGCCATCTCTGCCCCTTCCCATCATCCTGGGCCAAGCGTGGGCACAGGAGGGGGACAAGGAGGGCCCTGGGAGTGAAGACAGCAGTATGGCCCCCAGAGGCCTGGAGAGAGGCTGGCCAGCAGGGGAGGCCAGAAGATGCTGTGGGTGGGCCCAGTGCCCAGAGCTAAGTGGGCAGGTGGTGACAGTACTGGGTGGCACCTTCAACACAGGCAGGAGATACGCCTTGGAGCAGTGACTTTGGCCCTGGTATGAGAAGGCAGGATTCCAGGATCAGTTTTGCCACTGCACGTCCGTTCCCCAGTGGGGTACCTTGTGCAGTCACCTCCTTCTCCATCCCTGGCCCTCGGAGAGAGTGAGGGCAGGCAGGATGGATCTGGCTGCAGGAGCTGGGGACCCAGGAGGCACCTGTGGCCCACCCGCCTGCCTGTGCTTCCTTGCAGCCGTTCAGATCCACATCCTGAAGGCAGACAAGGCAGGGGACTGGTGGAAGTTCACGGTGAACATCATCTCCGTGTACAAGCAGGGCACAAGCCGCATCCGCCGCGGTGACCAGAACCTGTGGATTCGCTCACGGGACATAGCCTGCAAGTGCCCCAAAATCAAGTCCCTCAAGAAGTACCTGCTGCTGGGCAACGCGGAGGACTCGCCCGACCAGAGCGGCATCGTGGCGGACAAGAGCAGTCTGGTGATCCAGTGGCGGGACACGTGGGCGCGGCGGCTGCGCAAGTTCCAGCAGCGTGAGAAGAAGGGCAAGTGCAAGAAGGCCTAGCGCGGAGGCTGCGGCGCGCCGGGCGGGCAGGCGGGCGGGGTGCGGGGCCGGCGAGAGCAGGAGCAGGC